TGTTTTTTAGTATCTATAACTTCATGTCAGACTATTCTGTCTTTATTTCTGTAAGGGTATGGGCTGACAGACTCCAAAAGTCAGTTACTGTAGATGAAGGCATCAGTTATTCAACTTCAGATTAGTCAACATGCACATCTGCATCAAATTCTATGTTCAAAATCTGCTGACTTTATCCTGAAGCGCCAGACGAAACTGGAACTGGCAACCTACAGTATCATCATGGCCCACTCTCAGAGGAACTGGAGAGTTAGAAAATCTCCAAGTGAAAAGGGCTCATGTCCAAGATTTTCCAAAGCAAAGCATTCAAAGTATTGAAGGTCCAAAGCAACTACTGTAAGGCAGCTGCTGACATCAATATGGCAATGGACTAATCATATCTGCTGGAAAACAGTGAATAAGTAAACAAAGTAACATGAGCAGATGGAACGGATGTTGGTCCTCCAATATGTTTGTTTTCCCTTTAGAATGGATTCTGCTCCTCTGCACATTTGAGCATAACCCTTAAGTAAAGTGCGTGCTTCAGCTAAGTGTGGATTTACTCAGCTTTGTGAAGGAGAGACAAATGCAGTCTATGATCTAGGGGAAATGTGTGATTCAATAGGTAATTTTCCTAAGCTCCTCTGATGCAGTTCTTTCCCACTGGCAGGAATACACACTGTGCATCAGAGTAAGGTCTACTGTAGACTCAGCGGTAACAAGGAGGCAGTTATTTAAGTGCTACTGAAGGCATATTCTTCCATGTCAAAACATTGTACAATATATAAACTAATTATTCTCAGACAAGTGGATATGGCTTGAATTAAAAAGCAATTTATAAGTTTGGCCTGTGCTAAATCAAGACACACATTTGTAGGTATCTTTATCAAGGGGGCGCTGCATCAGATTGTCACCATGTTTAGTGTGATTCAGAGTTTAAATTTCTTATTTTTATCTAATACAATGGTCTTCTGTGGATGGCTATGACCTTCATGTGTCAGTACACTATGTCTACACAGTGGAAGTGGGTCCTCACTTCTGATGCTAATATGATGCCAAGTAAAATACACAGGACATTGTGTTTTAAAAGTTCCCATACACAGACAGGATACTACAATGGCATTTTCTTCCTTTGTTGAAGATGATTTGCACATAATTAAATACACTTGGAGTTGACTGAATACAAACTATTTGCCTTTAAGGTACTCTGCAGAAATGCAATCAAAAGTGAACTAATTTGTCTAGACATAAAATGTTATGATTAAGCATGCGTTCCCTTGCCTTCAGGACACCATTCAGACTTCCATTTAATAAGAGATTACAATAAAAGGTTCTAATAACATACAGAGAAGGTACAGTATACAGGGCAGAGCATGCATGTGTGCTTCCATGTACACACTTAGATGGTGCCATCATTTTTTGCAAGGATGATGTCTTTTTGTTTCTATAACACTATGTGTGATATGTTTTGTGTGTCTGAAACCATGTCCACCCTAAACTGGCCAAATCTAAAAACAAATGTTTTTGTGGGAAAATAACACATGTCCACAGCAGGACTAGAAGATTGTTGTGAAGATGCAAATAAATAGCATTTTGTGTACACTGTCTGAAATCACTCCCTATTTACTCATTCACTAGCCCCTATATAATGTACACTATGTAGTTGACTCAGTAGTGAACAGAAAATTTAGATTTGAGAAACTAACCAATCACTAGCATTTGGCATCATCAGTAACAGCTATAGAACGACGTGGCAATAATTTCCTATCTTATAAAACCACTGACATATAAACAAGTGACATCACTTTCCTCTGCTATGCCAAAATATCATGAATACAGTGGCTGCCATTGTATTTATTTTGCAACCAGATTCTGTGTGACAGCATTGGACCATGAATCAAAGCTGCCACATCTAATGAAATATTTCTCTTTTTATATCAACAAATAACTTATTAAAAACAAAGTTAGCAGAAAATGACCATTTGTACACACATCAGCATTATCATATCTAATAAAAAAAAACCACAAAGTGACCTCTGGGAAAACATTTATTTGATTTGTGTTTTGAGATTTTAGAGTGGCTTTATACTGCAACCAGCCACCAGGAGGAGAACAAGTTACTAACCCTGGTTTTCACAGTTGATGGAGAGAATGGAGTGTTTTGCATTGTGGGATTGTTAGCAGAATGCTTTACATTCAATTGTAGAATTTTTGAATGCACTATAGTAACTAGGGTTCTCTTCTTGGCCCTTCTTGTTCTTCATTTATATGTTACCCCTGGGGCAGATCCTCCTGCTCTTTTCACTTCTATGCAGATGATACTCAGTTATAGCTATCCATAAATCCAACAGAAACTTTCTTTCCCATTGCAACCTGTAAGGCAGACATTAAATCCTGGATGACCAGTGATTCTTCATGCTAAACTCAGATAAAACTGAGGTGCTCGTCCCCTGGGCCAAAAGTAGATAGAGAATTAATAAAGTGGGCTTTGGCTCCCTTAGACCTGGGGTGTGTCTGAACTCACCCCCTACTCACTATATAATGTGTTCGCCATATTGTAATGGTGTTCGAATGCAAAAAAAAAGTGTGTAAATCTGTTTACTATTAGAGACGGAATTCCCTATAAATACAGAGAATGCTTTGTCCATTAAATAAGTTCTGAACCACCTGTCACACCCATCCATATCTAGACACTGTCTCTTTTGTCCCACTGTTACTATAAAATGAGTGATTGCAGAGTGTGTTGTCCTTACTTGAATTTTACTGCCACAAAGCATCCAACCATCTCTGAGCAGGCTTACATCATTTTCATTGCTTATGTCATTTTGAAAAACACCACCTTAATGATGTGAGAAACAACAGTGGGTCTAATTTAGCTGGCCAATGAGAGAGACAGAGAGAAAGAACACTCTCCATCGGGTGCCTTCATCATGCAAGTTTGCACACTATAAGGTTTCTTTTACTTTCTTTTAAAAGGAAACAGTTGAAGCTTTAAAAGAAGTGGTTACATATTACAAAGAGCTTTATCGTGAGCCAAGGAACTATTCTGAAGTAGCTCAAATATTGAAGAACATTCAAATGCAGGCCAAGTTCTGGGTCATTTATACTTCTGGGTAATCAGGTCTCATTTCGTATCTTTTCAGATGAACCATATGAGCAAAAATACACACACGTATACATGGGCACAGACAAATACACACATACAGAAAGAGAAAGGGATGAAAGACTGTCGGCTTGTCCCTCTCCATTTCTCTCTTTCAAGTGCTGATGAAATGGAGCCCTAATGTACAACAGGTGTGCCATCTACACGCAATATTATTTATCTCTTTTAATCACCTTTCAGCTGAACTCAAACAAACTGGGTTGAAGTGAGTTGTCTTTGCCCTTCATCAAATATGAAAGAAGTAAGGAAAGGAAAAAGTGTTAGAGATGAAAGAAGCAAGAAAAGAATTTAAGTTAATCAAAAAATAAACTGCTGAAATCTATGAAAGTAAATGCACATTACTAACACGTTATTAACCCTTAACACCTCTAAATACCGCTCAAGAGGATGTGTGTCCATTTAGTCCACCATCATTTTGCCAGATTGACACTCATTTACACAGTTTTCACACAAAAAAAATCCCTAAATAGCAATTACAGAACCTGATAGGAAGGGGAAAAAAAGAATATTTTAAGTAGATTTCCCTAGGTAACACTTGAAATGACTGATTTGGGCCACAAAAATCAAACTCACTGCTCCTCCAACAGCTACCCTTTAAGCAGGGTGGCCGAAGCCCAGTGTGAACTTAAAGATCATTCACATCCTAACCAACACCCTGTGCTTCCACCATGCTATACTGAGAGCAGAGGTCTAATGACTTATTCCAACAGTGATTAAATTTGGCTTTGATTCTTTCAGCAAAGATTGAGTGCATCAAAAAACTTCACGACTGGATCTGTTTAAGCTGAACAAAAAACTTTGTGCTACATGCACAGGACCAAACAGCAAAAGGATGCAGTTAGTGACAAGCTGGCGAAACATTAAGTAGAGCCACCTAGTTCCCTCAGAATTTAGTAGAAACCAAAAAGCAAAAAGGGGAGTAATTCTGGCACTTCTCGCTGTTGGATATGTAAATAAGCAAATATTTGCTAACACATCAGACTTATCAAATTAAAAGATAATTATTCTGTGTTGTATTTACAACTTGTATTCACTGCAAGTGCCAGAAAAAATTGCATGCAACGTATGTGGTCAGAAATATAATGTATCTTCTATAGTTTTAAAGAATCAGTTCAACAGACATTTTCAAGGAAAACATTACTGTAGCCACAAAGCAACTGAACAATTCAACAACTACTCAGCTACTTTGTATTGCAAGATAAACTTGAACACAAATATATCACATACATCAGTGAAAAAAATGCAACACAACACAGCTTTCCATTAAGTCCTACATTTGTGAGATTTTATTTTAACATGCGGTTTTTATGTATCACAAGTGTTACCACACAATACGAAGAAAACACCTCAGTACTCTCAGGACTGTCAAGTCTACTGTGGCTCTTGTTTCAAATGGTAACAATGTATACACTTTTACACAGCTGGCAACATTGTGCACAGGCAAAATGATATATGAAGCACAGTAACCAAAACCTGCTTTTGTTAGCAAGTATCTAATCTACTCTTTTACGATAAGTGAACAGAGGCAAACAGGGTTTAAATTGCACTGAGTTGACACTCCACTAAAGCAGAGCAGCTATTCCCAAGCAGTCAGACAAAAGACAGCATTAAAGTTAGCCAAAGAAATCTAAGACCGAAGTGAAAAAGCATAATGACGTAATGCGAGCTACAGAAATGTGTTCTACTGTAGGTTACCGGCTGAGTGTGTACGCTTGGGAGTGTGGAGTGTTCACAGGGCATCTGTGATGGGGGTATGCACAAATATATGCATTCCCATATGCCCATGTGTTTAATGATACAGCTTTGACCTCAGTCAGGATTGGAAATGCCCTTAGATGTTTGTGTCCATGTGCCATACCTGTTCAAAATGCGGAACAAGAAGCTCCCTCCTCTGAAGCTGGAGCTGCTTGTCAATGTTGTCCTTCAGGCACTGACACACACGGCGCTTCTGGTCTGCTGAATAGGCTTCCAGGCTGAGCAGGCAGTCACACTTCTAGAGACAGACAGAGAGAGAGAGAGAGAGAGAGAGGAAGAGAAGAGGAGCAAGAAAGGAGGAGGAAGAGACAGTGGGCAATTAGGCAACTACTGTCAAAAAAGAAGTGTCCCCTGATTCTCGCATAGTGAAAGGGTTCAAAATGGGTAGAGCACAAGTGAACAAATTAGAGGATAAAAAGTATGAATGGAAAAAATGAATAAAACAAGAGTTTTTCTCTTGTCTTGTGGGCTGTTTAATGAGACCTTAGGACAAGAGCTACCTGTGTGTATGTGTGGCCTTGTTTTTCTCTAATGTACATGTGGGGACCCAAAACTGAGAGCCCAGCAACAAATCATTAAAATTTTGTGAGACAACTTGGTTTGAGGTTAGAGTAAGGTTAGCGCAAGCCTCCAGGAAATTAATGTAAGTCATTGTAAAGACCCACTAAGTATTGAAAACAAGGGGGTGTGTGTGTGTGATTAACAAATGCTCTGTGTGAATTAAATAAACACACAGTATGTGTTCTCACTGTCCACATATTTTATCCCAGCCGTTTCATTTTGCACAGTCATTTGTCATTTGAACTTTGCTTTTCTGACACTACAAACTGTAAAGTGATACAGCCCTCAGGGCAGCAAAATGATTGCATTAGTGAAATTAGATAATAGCCAGTATCCACTTCAGGAAAACATGATATGCTGACAAAATCATTGTGTGACCAATGGCAAGATGGCACTAAAAGAGCACAAATCAATACACCCCCGTGGAGAAATACGAGAGCAAATATTTGAAAACCTGTAGTTAAGTTCAAATTCAGAAAGCTTGGTCAAATAGGTTTTCATTCAAAATGACATAAATACCCCTCATCTCACTCTCCAGGACACCCAGTAATTGTGTTTGATCCCATTGATGTCCATGCTAAATGTTTAATGGATTAATGGTTGTTTATTTATCATGATTTTAACAGTATACGCTTGATAACTGACAAATCTGGAACACATGAAACTCAATTATGTCCATTTTTGCTCCAAATCCTAACTTGGTAGTAGTTTCTGAACAGACCTCTTAAAAGGTTTAAGGAAGAGAATTAATGGGAGTATAATATCTAGGATAAGAACATTGTGTGCCAGTTAGTGCTATATTTCAAGTCTGGTGTTGTTTCTGTGCTGAAGTATTTTAAGGGCTGAATAGAAACTGGTTAAAAAGCTTGTGATGTTAAAATACTCAACATAGCAAAGACATTTATATTTCTTGCCAGTGGTAAAAATGTGTACATCTGTTGCTACAGTTTCTTAAAATAAATCATCTGTAATTGTTGCATTTATCTCCTTGTGCTTTATAATCTTACATCTCATGACTCCAACAAAGCATAGTTTGGGCTTTGGTGGAAATATTAAATATACTCTAATAAGTGTGTCCTGATTTCATCTCTTGATGCTAGTATAGCCCTTTTTTGACATCCAAATCCATGTTCGTAGACGAGCTACAGTATCATCGAATCACATTTCCTACTGATAAACAAAACACACATTTCTCCAGGTACCAACTACCATATCTGCATCCAGTCATTTGCATACATGTTCACATCAGCTCCTCTTACCCACCTTTACTAGGTGCATTTAAATGAAGAATAGTCTCAGTTTTTCTGGTTGAACTCCAACATGAAAGAAACCTTTTTTGACATTTACAGAACTTTTTTTTTCTATTTCTCCAATTTATTTCCAATTGGATCATTTCCATCTACCTCGGTAGTTCTGCTTCCGGCGATGTCAGGGAAAAACACTGTCCTGACATTTTTGGGCACAAGTTAAGCTATAAATAGGATTTTTCCATTTTGTGCAAGTCTTCAGAGATTGATTCCTCAGGGCTTTTCCTGACACTGCTCTGGTCAGTGGTGAATCATGATGCTAGTTTACTGGCCTGTTTCCTGGCTGCATGGGCTTTTGCATGCCTTGCTGTGTTGCTATTTCTTGGACTATCTGTCCTTTTCAATGTCACTCAATGTCCTGTTAAAGCTTAGGATGCTGCTGCTGTAGGGTCTGCTCGCATACGGTGTTTGGAGGTTAAACCAGGGTACCTTACCCTGCATTAGCATTAAAGTCTGCATTAATTGTAGAAATGTTAGGACTTCTTTACTTTAATGCAGCATAAAATGTACTGAATACAAAGCACAGATGTGTGTTAATCTGAAGAGTTAAATACACATTATAGAAGGTGGAAACAGAATACTTTGCTGCTAAAACATTCAGAAAACAAAGAAACAGGGAAGAGAGACAAAGTAAAAGAGAAACATGGGGCACAGTAAAAAAAATAAATAAATAAAGGCAAAATTTCAAGCTAATATTAGAAAGATAGAGAGACAAACCTGGGAAAGAGAAGCAGGTTAGATGGCATTTATGAAACTAAGGCTGACTGTTTTCAATTGCATCACAAAATGATGAAATAGGGGCTTTTTTAGAGTGGACAGAAATCAATGCTGATGTTCTTTGATACGCATCATTTTGACTGAATCTAAATCTATAATGATATAGTAGAATGCACACACACACACAATTACTTCAACATAAACAAGTAGCTCCTGAGCAAACTCTTACAACATTTCTTTCAAGGAAAAGCTCATCATTCTAGCAAAACATTATTTTGGAATTCCCACATAAAGCATTACATAAAATTCTACAGGCCAGATATGGTCTGAAAAAACTCTTCAAAAGTTAGTGGGCATGGGCGGAGGCAGGGTTTGGCCAGGGGTGGCACGAGCCACCCACAGGATCTGATTGGCCACCCCTGGTGCCACCTCGGCCAGAGTCAAAATGTGATGCTTGTCAGTATTAATGAATGAAAATGAAAAACAATGACAAATTAGAATGAAAGAAAGTCACTTTCGGCTTTTCTCGTTTCTTAGGGGTCGCCACAGCAAATCGTCACACTGACGACTCGCATGTTGACATTTGGCACGTGTTTTACACCGGATGCCCTTCCTGACGCAACCCTGGTTTTTCTAGATCCGCCCTTGCTAATAGGTTGTGATGCTAAAGGATGAGTATTCAATATTCTAACCAATATATTCAAAATATAAAGATTTCACTTTTTCTGTTTTCCATATCCTTTGAGCCTTAGTTAATAATTATTTGGGATGAGAAATACTGTAAAGCTAATGCAACGGCTCAGGCCTTCCAAAACACATTGCCTCATACGGTCACTGTCCTGTGTTAAAGAACACACATCTGAAGTAGAGCAGGTGACGATCCCAGAGGCATGCATGCACCTACATCCACACACACAAATCACCCAGCTTGGGCACAATACATGTTTGAACTTTTACTATGAATACATTTACTGCAGCAACATATTTTCAAGATATAATCATTCAGAAATAAAAAGAAAAGCACAACAAGCTCTGCTTTGTGAGTCATAGCAAAGGCCAGGTCTCAGAGCCGCAGGGGGGTTTACATCCCCGTCAAAGAGAGGAAGCATCTATGTTTACATAGTCTTGATGTGTAAACATAAGGCACGTGGTGTAGTGAACACTACTGTGCAATGTAAACCAGCTAGTGACATCATTCACAATGTGTCTTGGGAAAATAACTGATGACTGATGAAGAAAACCACTGAAGCATTTCTTACTGTAATACAGCATACAGTGTAGTTTTCTTTTTACTTCATATCTTAAAAAAGGAACCATGCAGTGCTAAGGGAATACTAATGGTGATTTATTTTTCTCAGCTATTATTTTCCATTTCTCCTGTTAATAATGTTTAATTATTCATCTTAATGGTTCCACTTTGGTTTATTATTACATATTTTTGTGTTGTGTTGTTAACAGTAACTGTATTATTGCATCAATCTAAGACAGTTTTCCTGACAATGACTTTCATGTTGCTCCATTACATCGGTTAAAATAATTATTAATGCAGGTAAATGAGTAAACTGTTGACAGCTGGTCACAAACCATATGTTTCAGGCAGGCATTATCTGGAGCCAGTGGAGCTTTCTATGATGCTGGCACCACAGAGCAGCTGTCTTGTACTATAGTTTAAAAGAGATTTAAGTTGTACTTTTATGATGCATACAGAATCTTTCTCTTTCATTTTATTTATTAGTTAAAGTAACTTAAAGGACTGTTTTAAGCTTGAAGTAAACCCTCTGGAATCTCCTCAACTTTGTAGAAGCAGGTCTTTGGGGATTTTTATATTAAGGTCAGGTTGATTTTTGGCATTACACTGTATTCGAATAGTGACCCAGGCTGCAGCCCCAAAACAGTAACACCTGTTTCCTGGCAAGTTATCAGTTTTAGCAGCACAGACAGGGGATAAATGAAGCCCTTACTACTGGATAGAGTGGCCATCTTATTTACAAAATGATTACCTAAAGAACCATGTCAGCTAAAAGAGCAGTTTCCTTTACTCTTGGTCCTACATTAGTTCACTACTGTTAATACAGTAAATCCACCCATTCGGGAGATAAACAGGAGAGCTAATGAAACAAAATTCAATGAATGGCCACTGGCCTGCCGTGGAGTGGCTAAAAATACAGGCAGCATTTCCCCTTAATCAGATTGATTAAAGTGCTCCCAGGTTGAAGCCCTCCCCCGAGCCATCTGGTAGATGAGTTTTCAGTGTGTCACCAGACTGCTGTCAACACAGCTCACCTAAGCTGCTTTAGCACAGTTTAGTATGGTTTCAGTGATATAATTCAAGTAATATTATTGATTGATTTCTTTCACACTGCCTTCTAATAATAATCCACTTAGAATGTTTTGCTTTCAGAACACAGATGCTGCTACGAAGGTGTGTAAATTGTGTGACACACTTAATTCTGACATCTCTTTTGCATCAGCTCTAGCACCAATCGCTAGCATTGTTGCCATGGTAATGCATGTAAATAAATCTAGGTTTCAAACCCGTAACTTAAGGGATTGTGGATTTGTTATTTATGCTTGGATTGGATACATGTTTTGCTAGGGGAGCATCATCATGAGTTATAAATCCCTGGCACTGTCTCATCTGATCCTCCATGCC